CTCTCACTCTTAGTAGTTTCTCACCAAATCATTGGACCAATACTGGGGGGAAATATGAAAAAAATTCAAGTCTGTTTCCCGTGAGTTATTAGCAGAATTAACAGTTTTTTATTATTATTTTTATAGAGATTGCCCCAAACTACGAATTTTATAAAAATGCAGATGTTAGACCTCCATTTACTTATGCAACTCTCATAAGGCAGGTAAGTAGAGGGAAAATTAACTTTGGCTGATTAAATTAAAATTCATTAATGCTTAAAGTGAGACTTGGATGGGAAAGTGCCATCCAGCCTGGTTAGGAAAGCATTATTCTATGTCACTATGTATCTTGTCTCATTCCAGGCTATCATGGAGTCATCTGACAGACAGTTAACGCTTAATGAAATTTACAGCTGGTTTACAAGGACATTTGCTTACTTCCGGCGGAACGCTGCGACTTGGAAGGTAACTAACTACTTCTCCAGCAGTTCCAAGATGCCCAGCCCAGTTCCGTGCAGAGAACACAAGGAGCATTTATTTACATGACATAAGCAGATTAGTATCTGCTTCCCCTCTTTTTAACCTGCCTCTTGAATGGAATGAATTCCCTCTCTCAAAATGACAAGTGAAAGAATAATTTTGCCTCTGATATAGTTTTCTAATTTGGTGCAATTAATAGCTGAGGCTTGGCAGAGAAACGAGGGCCTGACACACTAATTACAGTGTGAGCACTCAATCATCAACACCTTTGTTAGTCGCACGATATTACTTTTTCTCTTGCATATTATTGGCTAATTAGTTTGAAAAATGTCTGTTTGGCTTGTGCAACAAATGGAGGCTGTAGGTTTTGTCCTGGTCTGCTCCTTTTGCACACATCATACCTCATCATGCAGACTGAAGCTGCCACGGGAGTGAGCGCCCTGGCTACTCAGCTGGAACTAAAAGAAAGTATAGTGAATATTATCCTGTCAGAACATAAATGCAGTTTATTTACTTAGACAAAAGGGTTCATCTATACCCCTGTCCAAACAACTTCATTGTCTGGATCTTACAAGGAGCTAAAAAAAAATGTTAGTTCTGTGCATCTATTTTTGGAAATGAGCAATGTCTGGAAAGATAAGGGCACTCAGCACAGACTAAGTGAACTGTTTTATTTTCATTTCAAAAAGCAGTCAGAAACATCAATTAGCCACAAGCCATTTGGTACAAAAGGGGAAAATGTTTGTAGCTCGGAAGAATAGAAGCTGCGAAGCATTCATCAGCATACTAAGAATTTTAGACTGTGAGATATGCTAAAGTGAATTAATTTGGATTTAAAATGCAAATGAATCTGGCAGGCGATTACAGATATATGGGTGCCAGGCTCAGAATGCTTTTAATTTACAAAATGTTTAGATGTTATTAGTTGCTACAGTATGCAGTACTGTAAATGAATGTAATTGTTTTATTTATGCAGTTACTGAGTGTGTACTTTGTGTGATGAACATGTCAGGGATAATCTGCACAATATATGTTTTAAACCATTTTCAGGAACTCATATTTATGTCGAAGGTTTACATTTTCTTTTGTCGCTCATTAGAGAATGTAAGGAATGTTCTGTCATTTGATTTACTGAAAGAAATTTTAAAAGAAATGAAAGGTGATTTAATATCTTAGCTTGGTCTCATCTCCACAGCTCGGGGATCCAGCAAAACTCATTCTGAACAGCTTATTAGTTCTAACTATATCGCATGCATAATAAAACTGCTCATTTGCTCATTAATATTAAAATTATCATATTCAGAGCCATGGGCATTAAGATCAATCAAATCCTTGGATTTCAGGTCAGATGCTAGATCTGCTTATGCTTTTTTTTTTAAGGATTCTTCTCTTAAAGCAAGCCAGAAGCTTGTCTTTGTGCAAATAGAAAGAAATCTTCATCAAAATTACTTTGTTTTATATTCTTGAAATAAGAATTAGGTCATTTCTGAGTGCTTGATAGCTATATGTCAATGTACCCTGACAGCAAGAAATATTTGCTTAGGTTCATAATTTGAATTATGGAAAATATTGAAGGTAAATTATGTTGTCTACTGTATATTTATTATAGTTAAAATTTAAGGAATGACTTAATTTGATTTAAAAAATGTTAATTTTGAGTAATTACTCTAATACAAAGCTGCCAACAACATCTGTTTGCATAATCATTATGGGAAGAAAACGTACTCTCGGGTTCTAGCCCTGACTTTCAATTGAGTTTAACATTTACAAAAACTTTATTGGGAATTTATAAAAAAAAATCTAAGTGTGTCTTATTGTGCAGGCAGAACATTACACTGTAACTTGCATATGTCATCTAATAATACAGAATAAACAAACTCTGTCATTTCATTATTATAGGGATGAAAAGAATGCCTTTGAGCTTATTTGCATAAAGCTTTGTGCAAAATTAACACTTGTCACTGTAGCCTTTTTAGCATTTTAATACCTCAAGCAGGACTGGTTCCTTTGGACATTTCAACCATCCCTGAGTGCTTGATCAGGGACACAACAGAGCTGACCTAATTGTTCTGGCATTTTCAAAGATACTGTAATTTGTACAGATATTGCAATTTAGACCAGTTCAATGAAAGAAAGGTTTTGACACAGCTATTATTAAAATAGCGTAGAAGGTTCTCTTATCACCAAGTTCAAACTGCAGATCCCAGTAATTTGTAAGTTGGGGGTTTGCAATATCATGCCATATTTTGATTTTCGTGCTTAAACATCTTAGAAATTTTCACTCTGATCAAGTAAGATCAATAAAGCAGTGTGTTGGGCTTCCTTATTAAACAATATTCTTTTTGCTCCTTTTGGCTTTCTCCCCTCTGGTTTAGAATGCAGTACGTCATAATCTTAGCCTGCACAAATGTTTTGTTCGAGTAGAAAATGTTAAAGGAGCAGTGTGGACTGTGGATGAAGTAGAATACCAGAAGCGAAGGTCACAAAAGATAACAGGGTATGTGTGTGACAGTTTTGTAATCCTGTATCCTTGCATCCACTGGAAAAGTGAATGCTTGCAGTTGGGGGTGGGGTGCAGAGATCGTCTGCTGAACGCATGCTCACATTCTTGGCTGGGAGCTGCCTTTTGAATTTAGGCATACATGCACAAATCATTATCCAACCAACGATTTTCCATGAAAATATTTTGGTTACTGTTTTTGGCAATTCTGCTTTGAACTTATATCAAAAGCATAAATTCAGAATGGTGCATGTTTTCTAGTGGGAGATATCTTCCTGATGTAATAGAGGACAAAAGACTGTCTTTAAATAAAGCTGATGGTACCTGCACTGGTGCTCCTGAGAAGCTTTATTTAAAATCCATGATTTTTATTTTCCATAGTCTTTCTCTTTTTTTCTAAATAAACTTTCTGTTGGGCTTTTCTCATTTATTTTCAGCCAACACAGTTTTCTATATAATGTAACTGAGATGATCAAGACACACTAGTTTGAAGAAGTTACTACATGGAAAGTTTCATTGTTTTTTTTCTTCTAAGACAGAAAACCACTCCAGTTAAGCTAGAAGCACAATGGAGCTAACTTTGTGCTTAATTAACTACATGTAGCATTTACCTGCACTGCCTTATGTGATGGTTTTAAAGCATGTTGCCTACTCCTAGCCCTTGAGTTTTGATTTCTGTAGTAAAGTATGTGCTAATTTCTGCATTCAAGAAATAGTTAATCCATTATGTTGTCATTTAATTAACTATGGTAATTTGTTATGTTAATTCTTGGTGTTCCAGAAATTAACCATTAATTATTTCTTGATTATATCAAATTGGTAATTGTTTTGTGTATTTACATTTTTAAATTTTTATATGATCTTTAGTTGTTCTTGCAAATAAAACCCCCAGGAAGCCGGAAGTCCATGGTCACATTCTAAGTTGCCTCTACACCATACACTAAAGTTTTTCTGTTTTGTTTCAATCCATGAAAATTTTATATTTCATATACACATATTTCATATTGTAATTTATAAGTCGTGTGTAATTTTTTTCTTCCAGGAGTCCAACTTTAGTGAAAAATATACCTACAAGTTTGGGCTATGGAGCAGCTCTTAATGCCAGTCTGCAGGTAATATCATTAAGTACACATTGACATTATTGTCCTCTTTGGATGTTTGGGTACTTTATTGTTTGGCATGCTTTCTATTTAGGAGAGATTATGATTGTTCTTAATAGTTGGTTTATCATCCAAGGAAGTTGTAGTACCTAGTACTATGAAAAGCCCTGATTCTCATTCAAACTACTTTTGATGTGGAGAAGCAAGAAGGACACCCTGTGGCAAAATCTGGAACACTCACTTTTCCTGCAAATGCTAGATTGATAGAAGCGTTTGCAAATGCATGTGGCTATGCATTAATATTTATCCAGGCTGTCATAAATGATTTCACATCATAGTGTTGGGGAACATGGTGCTTGTGGCAAAAACTTTAAAGTTTAATTATAATATATAATTTTTATGCAGAGGAGGCAAATGTCAGGACTTCTTTATTTTGAGTTAAGTTCTGGTCATTTTTAAAAAGAGCAATTGCTTATATTATCCTCGAGTATTTCTGAACACGTGAGGAATCAACAATTCATTATGCAAAAGGTTCACACACGAGTGAGAAAGTGTGCTGTGGGAGCCATTGTTTATGTATTCACATCACTTTTATGTCCTTGCTGTGTCGACTGCAAGTGGCCATGTAGGGATTTTTCTGTTTCCATACGTTTTGTTTAAGTGCTTCTGAAATGTCTATAATGCAATGTGCAACCGCTGAAGGGAGAGATGTGCTGTTGCAACGACTTTTAAGGGCAGGCGTGTTAAAGCTGTCTTGCTCCTTGTCCATCCCACTAGGCTGCCTTGGCAGAGAGCAGTTTGCCTTTGCTAAGTAACCCTGGATTGATCAATAATGCCTCCAGTGGCCTCCTGCAGGCTGTCCATGAAGACCTCAATGGTTCCCTGGACCACATTGACAGCAATGGGAACAGCAGTCCGGGCTGCTCGCCTCAGCCACACATGTAAGTGAGGTTAGCAGTTTCCTGAAAGGGATGAAAATATATTCTTATGTCTCTGATTTTAAAATTTTTCTGAAGTTTGTCATGGGGTTTAAGTAAAAACATAAAAGTTTAAGCAGAGTCAGATTGTACACTGTCCATAATATATAAAGGATATAGAAATTGTTGTTCACAGATCTTAGAAATTATCCTAAGTGTCCTATACAAATTATTAGTACCGCTAAAGTCCTGCTAAGCATTAAGTACTGTGTCTGATGAATTTCCATCTGATGGGTCATTATCACAGTTTGGCTTGTATGGTATAATATGAATATTCGTGAAAGGGTAAGTTGTCACAATTTTTACTACTGTTACAGAACTCTAAACCATTTATGAACTGTAGTCAAGACATTGCCCATTTTTATAAACCGTAAAATGCAAAGTTTAACTGTTACCCACAGTTTACACAGAAGCTGGTAAAGTGTAACTTTTTGCCTGTCTTATAAATCAGGGTAATTACATATTCAAGCTTAATTACTGGTGCGTCTGTATTGGCAAGGTTTATATGTTATATTTTATGCAAGACTACGATTCCTATTAATATTTAGCAGCTAACTATATCATTAATTACTCTAAAATCTTTCCCCTACCATCTTTTTAATGGAGCTGAGAGAGTGGAAGTATTAAAAATTGATGTATTGTGGATTTCAGAAAAGTGTATGACACTTTTTAAAAGACCAGGTCTTATTCAGTGGTGTCAGGCATATCAGTTTCTTGTTTACTAAAATGGACTGACCCTGGCAGAATTGAGAATGCCTGGAGAAATAGTTCCAGCTGAGTGATGGACTACATGTTCATCTGAGCTGGTAGGGTGATGTGGGGATGTTGTGGCTATCCTTCCCTGAGTTATACCATGGGCTGGATAACTTCACATAATCGATACCATTATGTTTCCAGTCAAAGCACTGAAAGGGATCTAGAACCTGGCTATGTACCCATTTTCATTTGACCTTTCACAAATTCTTATCTTGTTGATTTTTAAAAGATGCCACACAGTTTGATGTATGGACATCCTCGAGATCACATGCCTTATAATGTATTGTGCTTTTTACTCTATCGTCTTTGCAAAAAAAAAAAACAACAACAACAACAAAAAAACCACACTGAAGTCATTAAAGTGTTTCTTTGGATTCCAAGCCATTACTTTTCAAAAATGGAAAAAAATCTGTCTTTTGGAAGTGTCTTTAGTTGTATTAAATAATACAAAAGAAATGATAAAACCCCAAGTAAAAAAGAACATGAATATATGCTCTTGAGACTAGCTGTACTCTAAGCAAGGAAAATGGGCAATCAGACAAAAGTTTTTACACCCTGCATCATCACCCTGTCAGCTATGCAGTGTGGTAGCTGCAGGCTTTTCCTTTCAGTTGCTCTCCTGACTGTGCTAATTCTCACTCCCTATGCAAATGCTAAAAGAAGTCATCTTTAAACCCAACAAGAGTTAGATCCTGATTTTCTCCATTTAAAAGGGGGAGCTAATATGAAAGGCAATCATAAAAGCGGTATGTGAGCTGTGGGTACTACTTCCCTTGCTCCCACGCAGTATGTAGATGCTGATGCAAACCATGTGTGATAAGATGCAGAAGAAAGTGATTTTCACAAGTTTAATCGTCTGGTGCTGTGAATATTAAAATAAAACATTAATGACTTAATAAAACATTGTATTCTAGAACCTGAATTAATAATTGGGCTAAATAATGGCTTTCTTGAGCTCATAGTATTTTTCACTTGACAATTGGTATTTCTGATCACTCAGTTTATTGTTAATTTTAAGTTTAATCATGAAATATCTAAAAGAAATAGTAGCATGCAAAACAATATTAAAACATCTTTAATGTTTTATATAGTACTATTACCAGTTTGTATAAAAACCATTTAGTTAATGTATTATGTAAGTTATACTGACATGAATCAACACATAAAAAAATACCTGCATTTATTTTCCATAGATGAAAGCAAAACCTCCTTTTCTTGTAAGAAATTGAATTCAGAAAAGTTAAAAACTAGAGTAATCCTATACCTTGTCTTTTCCAGAGTAATATAAATGAAAATCCTGGAAAATATTGAGTCAATGTTGATACTTCTAATCTCTCTGTGCTACTCCATAACTTTCTGCAGTATATCTTGTTATTACCAGATATCATCACCTCATCATTCCTCATCTTCAAATCTATCTGCTAAGAGGCTTATTTGTGTGTAATAAACACTAAGCATTTGGGGTTTACTATGAAACAATGCAAGGGGAAATTATTGATAATTGATAATTTAATTGGTTCCACCAATTAAAATTTACTCACATCTAATTGATTATAGTTCAGAGAATTTAGAGATTGAATTGAAATGAAACACCTATTTTATAAAACATTTATGTAGCATTTTTTCTGCATCCTGGGACAACTTATGCTACATGCTGTTTTGGAGGGGGCTGTTTATGCCAATATTTTATGAAAGAGAGGCTGTACAGCTCAACTGTGTCCAGACTGTTTGTGGTCTAGAACTGGACTCAGCACTACACATGGGAATGGGCAAGTTTTCTTTCCTTGGTGTCTTTGTTTTCCTCTGTCTCTCCACCCCCGCCCCCCCCCGAACTCTCAGTAATACCAACCTCATGTGATTTATGCAAATAAACTGAGTGCCTGGAAATGATGATGCTTCTCATGGAATATACCTCCTCAGTTACTGATTGATAAGTACCTATTACTGTATCTCATTGCCATCTTAAATGAGACTAAAAACAATACAAAACACACTTTGCAGTTTCAATACTTTCTATACTATGTTTATATAAATCTTTCCATTGACTCTGACATCTCTTACAAATCCTGAAGTAAACAACCCATTAAAAGTGAGGAAATATGACAGAAGAATTTATTGTATGGAGTTCATTGCTCAAAGTCAGTGGGATAAAGGATTGGAGGCACAAGAAAATACTAATTGAATTTGGCAGTAAACAGCTTTAACAGAGAAAATATAACCAACCCAGAATTAGTCACTCATGTGCCCAGAAGCAGGGAGAATTGGGTTGAACAAGAATTTAGAATACATAGGTAAATACAGAGTTTAGAATGTATGAAGATGGGGCCAGACTCTTAAATTACTAAATGGCAAGTTATGGTGTTAGTGTTTGGTATAGTCAGTGTTTTACTTTAGGAGCCATGCTCAATAAAATCATATTGCATGGACCATAGCTTGGCACCAGTAATCTCAGGATGTTTTTGAATTCGGAGAGCTGATGCAGATTATTTTAGCAGGCTCTAGTATCTGTACTATCTATTTTAAATTAAATTATAGAGTGGAAAGCATTTAATTAATCCAAGGAGTATTTTAAAATAAAGATGAGAAAAGGCACCTGTTTTCTAAGAATAAAAGGAGAAAAGCTCATGGTCACTGTAAAATTGCTGTAAAATAGAAGACAGAACAGAAAGAAAACATGATGACTTCCTACTTTTGCTTATGGAATCAAAGAAATTAAATGTCCTCAGAATCTGAGAATAGCGAAAACACCAGGAATGTTTAGTTTATTTATATTTTTATTCAGTTTCATAATAGTGAGGTAGTTGAATCTTAATGTGCCCTTGAGGTTGCTAGAACCATGGATCATTAGGAAAAAAGGAACAGATGTGGGTTGGCTCTGTTAATGTTTGGAGATACCAAGTTTCCCGCATATTCCATTCCTCTTTTCTAATACTGTTCTTACACTACAAAATGTTCAGTTTGCAAAAGAAAACTTTCCCAAATAAACTCATTTTTTGTCTCAAAGTCTCTGCTTTTCCACCCTGTATTTTGTTTCAGCTTTGTCTTACTCTATGTCTCCTTGTTATAACGATTCCATAGAGGCTTTCCCAATTAATGTTTCTGTCAGAATCTAACCTCAGCTTCATGCTTTTGGAAGACTTGCTCCCCATACCATTCCTGAAGCAATAATGTGGCTTGTGAGTGTGCATGAGACATGCATACTCATTCTGCAGATCTCCCAAGGTTAATGCCAAGGTTCTTAAGAGTGTATGGTATGCCCTGAACGAAGATGTCACTTTTGAGGACTGGTTAATCTATGGGACCTCTGGTAGTGGATAAGTATTTACCCCTGGAATACAAATGGACTTTGGGAGCCCACTGTACATAGAGGGATACTCTTTCAGCCTAAACACACAGGGGAGAGTCTAGGCCCTGCTCCCAATGATGTGACAGACTTTGAAAATCCCTCATGGAATGTCTCACCCTCCCTGGGGAGCAGAAAGGGCATAGGATAGGGGGTCAGTGGGGGTGGAGGGGAGAGAGAGGGAACTGAGATTGACATGTAAAACAAGCTTGTTTCTAATTTAAATTTTAAAAAGGGGGAAAGAAAGACCCTTGGTAAAAAAAATAAAAGAAAGTATGGCACGTTTTAAACACTTGGCCCATTCATTGGAAGCAGCTTAGTTTCACCAAGCAATACCTACATGAATAACATCCATGACCCAGCTAGACCTCTGAAGAAGGATAATCAAAATTGTAGACCAATAAATAACTTTAGTGTTCCTCTTTATGACTGCTAAGCAGTGTAGGTACTCAAATACAAATCCTCATGCTTGCACACTCAAAACTTTACCAGCTAAACTATCTCCTCGGCCCTTTGATTTTTTTTTTTAGACCGCTACTTGCAACACTGTTCAAAGAGTTTTCAGACAATCAATCCACTTTATGAGCAAGTACAAAGGATGCTTTCTACTTTATAAGGATATTTGCTTTTTTTGGAAAACTACTTAAAAAGTTGCATTAATGCTGTGTTTACATTGAAGTAATTGTAACTTGTTGTAGTCTCACATTTGTTAAACTTACAAGAAAAAATTTGCATCAGGACTCAAAGGTGAACCCATACTGATGGAAGTAGTCCACATGCTTTCTTTTTCCAATCTGAAGCAAACAGTCATGTTTAATGATGAAGTCAAAATAGTTAGTACAGCCCAACTCTTTCTCCCTTAGTA